CTCGGCGCGTCGCGGCACCGCTTGTGTTCTCGGGGCTGGGCCCGCCGGGGCCCGTTGGCGGCGCCCTGGGGCCCATCCGCTGCCAGACGCGACAACACCAACAGAAGGCAGGAGAGGGCGTCGCCGGCGCCTGCTACACGGGCTTTCCGACGCACACATCGACTGCGTTCGTTGCGATCCAAGTCTGTGCCCACCCCTTCCCTGGATCTCTGTGCGAAGAGGGCCACAAGAGATCCTCAAGAGGGCCCAAGAGGCCTCCGCCAAAGGGGCCCCAAGAGGGCGCCAAGAGGCCTCCAAAACGCTCCCAGAGCGCAAGGTCTGCAAAGGCCTTGATACTTGACTCCTGTTATCGTTGTCGTCGGCGGCGGCACCGGCGGCAGCGGCGACGGCGTCGGCGTCGGCGTCGGCGTTGGCATCGCCATCGGCATTGGCGTCAGCGACGGCGTCGGTGTCGTCGTCGTGGTCGTGGTCGTGGTCGTGGTCGTGGTCTTGGTCGTGGTCGTCGTCGTCGGCGGCGGCCCCAGGCACGCACGACGTAATACAGGCACCAGAGGCAACGACAGGCAATCACTAAACCAGAACAAAAACGCAGAGCAGCGAAACGCACGCGACGTACAAACGCCGATCATCAAACGCACAAGGAGCCTGTGGCTGCTTTGGTTGAGTGGTTGCCTGCCGTCGCTCCCTGAATGGATCCCCCGTGCAGTCGTAGTCAATTCGTCGTAGTTGTAATCCTAGTCTTAGTCGTCATCATCGTCGTCGTCATACTACACATGCCTGGTCAGGGCAACTCGCTCGGTGTCTGTTCTTGGATAGGTTGGTAGGAATACGCAAGCGTCAAACATTTGCCTGGCAGTATTACACTGGCAGGGTGCACCCCAACATCAAAATAGATGAAGCTGGGACCTGCATCAATATTAAATCAAACATCTCCGACGTAACTGTCTGTCGTCCTCCAAGTTGTTTGGGTGGTTCGCGCCTCCGAGGCTGCAATCCCATGTAAATCACGTCACATGCGAGCTCCCGAGGCCACAACCCGCCAGAACTTACAACGAACCCATGCTCTTGAAGCTGAAGCCAATCGTGAAATACAACGGATTCGTGCTCCTGAGGCCGCAACCCTTCGCGCCCCACAGGCTACAATCCCTTACACGTTACGTCGCACTCGAGCTCCCGAGGCCACCTTCTTTCGTAAAGTACAACGCGTTCGCGTGCTCGAGGCAACAACCTTTAGCGCTCCCGAGGCCACAGTCATATTATCAACTATGGCGAATCTGCGCTTCCGAGGCCACCAACACTTCCCGCGGAGGCTGTCCAAAAGCGTCCACGATTTTTTCAGATCAGAACAGCTGCCACGATTCTCTGTGTTGGGATGTGTTCGGAGGCGGCGAGCTCAAGCGCTGGCCCGCGCGCACCCCCACCGCAGGCAGAGGCAGACTAGAAACCAGGCTGGGGAGCTAACGAGGCCGTTGGCGCAGGCGAGGCCGAGAGCCACACGTTAGCCATGAGCAACCAGGGCCGCCCCTGATTCCGGCCCCCAGGTGAGGATCCCACGCCAGCCGAGGAGGGACAAGCGCCTGCTCAAGTGAAGAAGCATACGGCCCACAGCCACACAGCGGAATCACACCCAATGACTTCCCAGGGGAAATCCTTGGAAACGGGGGCGCGTCCGGTGGAACGGCCAAACGGCGGTTCGAGCGCGCGGCGCCGCCACGCAGCTGCGTGGGCGCCAGCGTGAGCTGCAGCGCCCCCTGGCGCGCGCGCAGTGGGACGCAGCGCGCGGCGACGGCGACGACGACGACGACCACGACGACGACGACGGCGGCGAATTGCGCGAGCCTGCTGAGCAGGGCGGTCTCGAGGTCCCCCGCCTCCGCCGTCTCCAAGGGCAACATTGCGCGCGCGGGGAGAAGCGGGGCGCGGCTGCGGCGACCGCGTCCTGTCCGCGGGGAGGCCGACGTCCGCGGCCCGTCGTCGTCGTGGCGGAGCCCTGGGACACAACGCTGTGACCCCGCAGCGGCCGCGGGCCGGCGTTCGGCCGCAGAGACAGCTAGGGCCAGCCAGCCACGAAGCAAGGACACCTGGGACCCAGCGCTTGCGCCCTCCACTTCCTCATCCATGATCTCCGGCCTCCTCAAATTTCTCAAACTCTTCTTCATCGTCCTCCTCATCTTCCTCATCCCCTACGGCGCGGCGTGCCATCGAAAGATCGAGGCGACGAGGAGAGTAAAATAATAGGCTGATAACCTGTGTGTATAAAGTAACAGGGTAACGACCAAGGAGTCGAACCTGTACAATTATCCGTTGGTAGAGGTGAGTGAGAAAGAGGAGAGCTACTCCTTTTCCAGGGCGCTGCACGGAGAGCAACGCGGTGTGTACACCAATACCTGAGCCGATACGTTAGCGGTATGCCATGCTATAGCGGTGATGCGAGCGGACTTCACACACAACCACGACGAGCACCACCACGACGGCAGCCCAGCGCACCACGCGTAGCCACAGCCACAGCAAGTCCCCAACGACCACCACAGCGACAGCAACGACTGCAGCCACCAGCAGGGCAAGAAGCCAGCCCCCAGCGGCAACCAGCACCACCACGCACGGAGCACTGCTGCCAGCGGCTTAGGGGAAGGTGGCGATTTTCCAGCTTCAAGACGCCTTGACGACAGAAATCCGACCCCTGGGAGCTACCACAAGGAGGAGCCCGGCGATCTTCCAGCGTTAAGACCGCTTCCCAGATGCTCCGAGACCCAAAAAGATGGGGCGCAAATGTCAAAAATGAGGCGCGACCAATCTCATTGCGCCGGACACAAGAATGGGGCCCCGCAGTGCGCGGGCACCTTCGAGGCCGCGACCCATCTTCGATGTTGTCGCTACCCATTTGTGGGATGCGACCGCTACCCATTTTTCAATTTTCTGCGCCGCATCTGCGCCCCATGGTTTGAAACTTTAGGCAAACTTCAGGCAGTGCGTGCCTGACGTTTGCCAAACGTTTGCCTGACGTTTGCCTGAAGTTGTCGTGGCATTGTCTGACGTTTGCCTGACGTGTTCGTGGTGGTTGCCTGACGTTTGCCTGACGTTTTCAAGCCATTTCGTGTGCTCAGACGCATCATCATCACCAGCATCACCATCATCATTATCAGCATTAACATCATCACAAGTATGTAGAAATAGTAATAATCAGCACCAGCATAATCATCACCATCATCACCATCATCACCATCGTCATCATCGTCATCATCGTCATCATCATCATCACCACCATCACCACCATCAGCATCATCAGCATCAGCATCATCATCATCATCATCATCATCATCATCATCATCATCATCATCATCATCATCATCATCATCATCATCATCATCATCATCATCATCATCATCATCATCATCATCATACGCGCCATCCCAATTACCAATATAAACAATATCATCAACAACAACAACATCATCATCAACATCATTAATATGTTCACTACCGTCATCCAGTAGTCGTGTATAGGAGTAGCGCTACTGACAATGATAGTCATCAGTGGTAGCCGTAGTGGCACTCTTCGGTAGTAGGGCAACGGTCGTAGTCATTGTGCGGGTCAGCATGAAAATGGTAAATGCAGCGGTCGTGGCAATGGTAGTGGTAACGAAATTGGCAAACGTTCTCTTCATCCTCATCTCCCCATCCCTCTCCCCCTCTCCCCCTCCCTTTCCCCCTCTTCCCCTTCCTCCGCACTCTCCCCTTCCCTCCGCCCTCTCTTCCTCCCTCCCCCCTCACATTCCCCCTCTCCCCCTGCATCCCTCCCTCTCCCCCTCCCTCTCTCTCCCCCCCTCTCTGTCTTCCTCTCCCCCTTCCTCCCCCTCATCCTCCGCAGTCCCTCCGCCGTCTGTGTCTGCTCTGACCATCGCTTCGTTCGTTTTTTTGTCTGGCCCGCATCGGCCTCCCCCCTCGTCGCTGCGCGATTCGACGTGGGAATTCGCGCTTGATTGCAACCCGCGTCCAAAACGAAACCATCCTCCTCCACATCTCTCTCCCTCCCCCCATCCCTCCCCACCCCGCTTCCCCTCTCCCTCGCCCTCTATCCCTCCCTATTCCCTCAGCTTGTTTTGCAGCCGTTTTTGGCTCACCATGTCCTCCAGGGCAGCCCTGGCCCAACAACCTTGCGACGTCCTCGTGTTGGACGTCGCTCTGTCGGCCGACCCGATCGGGGCCCCACCTGGTCTCGGGCATCCCTGGGACGTCAGGGACGCCGCCGACGTGCCGCCTGGGCTCAACCGTAATCGCAACGCTAACCCGAGGCGAGGGTTCATCGCGACCGCTCGTCTCTTGGCTGGGGCTCCGCCGATTCACGGCGCCCCCGATTTCATTGCGGTCCTTCCTTGTACCGCCCCATAGCCAAAATCATGGCGATTCGAGGCGGGCTGGGTGGAACACCAACCCGCTTTCGAGGTGTTCCCAGAGTACGCCGACGGCACATTTTCCTTGCTCCTCAGGTGGGATGGCGGCGTCGTGACCTACGAGCGGGAGCCCCTGATGCCGTTCCATCATTGGTTCCGCCGGATGCCGAGGTGGCCGGACTCGCAGAGCAAATCAAGTTCTGGCTTGAAAACACACACATATATATAAACATACATATATATACATATGTATACATCTGTATTACTAGTGTGCCTCACCCTCCTCCTCTTCCTCCTCCTCATTGCCCCCCTGTTCCTCCTCCACATCCTCCTCCTCCTTCTCCTACTCCCCCCCTTCGCCCATCCCCCGTAGCCATTTTGGCTCAAGATGTCCGCTCTGGGGGGCTGCAAGCCTCCAGGCCGAGTGGATACCGCTGTTCCGCGGCAGGCAAGGCCCGTTCGGGCCTGGCATTTGTTCTGCCTGCCACTCCAGGGGCTCAGCAGGCGGCCCAGTCGGTTCCATACTCATTCGTTGCTGCGATGGCGAAAGGTGTTCCTCCTTGGCATGCTGGCGGTGATCGCCGCTCAGGCTGGAAAGGAGGTCGCAAGGGTATCTGGGTGTTCCAGGCCGATGGCGAGTCTGACGCCTACGGCGGCAACAAGGGCGGTGACGGGAAGAAGAACAAGAAGCGCAACACTTACGAGGTCTGCGCCTCCTGTGGCCATTGGGAGTGGTCATATCATGGACATGCTTCCTGTTCGAAGTGCAACGGGGCGTATCGCAATTGGCTTCGAGGTGAAGGCCCCCCTGACCACGAAGGCGTTCTTGGAGGAGATGGGGAGGGTGTGCCTCCCGTGCTGCGTGAAGCAGCGGCGACGGTGCTGGCTTATCGACCTGACTTGCATCTCCACATGTCGGGGCTCGTGGCGCAGGCCGAGCCCGCCCCTACGATGTCTGCAGCCCAGTTGGATGCGGCGGCGAACACTGAGAAGACACGCCTTGCTAAAGTGGCAGAGGAAGCAGCTCGTAAGGTTCGGATGTGCTTGCAGGAGGTCGAGCAGAAGCGGACGAAGGCCAACAAGATGCGCGAGCAGTTGGAGGAGGCGACTGACGCGCTGTTCACGGCTACGGCGGCGCAGGAGAAGGCGGAAACCGAGCGGAATGACGCTGACCGCATCTTGCGCGAGTTCAACCCCGAGCAGTGGAAGGCAGCGCGGGCTGAGGAAGCTCGCTTGGCGGAGGAGGAGCGACAGCGGCAATTGCGGGCCGCGCCCCCCGCAGCTCCTGCTGTCGCGGGAGGAGCCTCTGCTCCCCGCGGCGTTCCTCCTCCCGGTGGCGCGGCACGGGGCGCCCAGCGGGGGGCTCCTGGCTGTGCTGCTGATGCTCGCCCTGCTGAGGGACCTGCTGAGGGACAGGGTGCCCAACCAATGCAAGTGGAGCCTCCCGACATGGCCAACATGTCAGCTGGGGGTCTTCGAGCCTGGTGCGAAGAAAAGCGGCTCTCGCCTGACCTGTGGGAGGCCTTTCGCGCCATGCACGAGACCATTCATGCTGCTGACCTTGATGATGGCATGTCTGATGCTGGCAGTGAAGCCAGTGATGTTGGAGACCCCGCTGAGCGTGAAGAACTACGTGCCCTTCGGAAGCGAGGCCAAGAAGCCATCCTTACCAAAGAGGAGCACGACCGTCTCGAGCAACTGCTGCTGTGCAAGGCCAAGGCCAAGGCTACCAAGCGGCTCAAGACAGCTCGCGATGGGTTCAGCGCGAAGTTCAAGGAGGTGTTGTCGGCCGCGGCGGTGTCCATGCCCGTGGCCCCGCAGTTCGGGTAACGCCTGCAGCGCGGGGCCTGGGCCCTCCCACCCCCGTTCGTGGGTGGACGGAGGCCCCAGCGGATGGGATAATGGGGGAGGAGCGACCTGGGCCTCGGTGCACTGAGGCGCCGCTCGCTCCTGGTCATGGTCGCGGGCGCCCCGGTGGACCTCGGTTGGAGACGAAGTCCTTGCAGGACGCCCGCAAGTTGAGCAACAGGGTGGAGCTGGTCTTCTGCAACATCACTTCCTGGTCTGAGGTTGCCAAAGATTTTGCTTCCCAGGTTCGGAAGGTGGCTGACGCCTTCCTCTTCTGCGAGCACCGTTTGCAGGCTTTCGCCCTTCCTGCGGCCAAGAGGGAGAGCGCTGCCATGAATTGGCGGCCGCATTTCCAGGCCGGCGTCCCAACTAGTGGGGGTGGGACTCACGGGGGGGTGGGACTTGTCGTTCGCAAGAGCTTGTATTTTAAACGGTTCTTGGCCCATGAGGGCACTGTTACTGACATTGGGTCAGGCAGAGGCTGGATGTTTCTGGAGTTGAAAACCAAACAGGCCGTGATGGCCATCGGAGTTTGTTACTTCGTCTCCGGCCTGGGGGTCTCCGGTGAGAATTTGTCCAAAATGAGGGGCGTTTCTGAGTTTGTTCGGGCTCTGGCCATCCCATGGCTCCTTGTGGGAGATTTCAACATCGAAGCTGAGACTATGAATCTCTGTGGGTTTCCTCAATCGGTGTTCGCGAGGGTGGTCGTGCCGAGTGATGCTGAGTTTACGTGCACCGCTGGAAGCGGCTCTACCATTGATTATGCATTGGTTTCGTATGAGTTGGCGCCCTTTGTGCGGATCAGCCTCTTCGAGCCCTCACCGTTCAAGACCCACCGCTGCCTTCGAATCCAGATTGCTCATGAGGTTCTGCAGCAAACCTTGTGTAAGCGGATTAAACCTCGCGAGTTGCCGTCTTGCCCTGGACCTGATCTTCCCTGGGGACGGCATGTTATGCAGGTGGTTGCGGCGGGTCCTGTTTCGCTCTGCCCTTGTCCTGTGCAGATGGAGAACCTCATCCCCCACACGGCCGAGCATCTGTCTTCGCAGGTTTCGCTCCAGTACTTGGTCTGGTCGCAGGCGACGGAGGATATGTTTTTGTCTCGGGCATGTGCGGCATTGAACATTGATGATACATCGATGAGGGGACGTGGGGATTTTCTGCGGTTGAAGACGGCGACGGTTGCTCATCGTGGTGAATTGGGTACTTCGTATCGAAATCCGCAGTTGGCGTTCTGGTCGCATTTCTCTGCCAAGCTGTTCGAGATGCGCACTTCCCTGAGGAGACGTGCTGGGGCACGAGGTGCCGTTCCAGGTCTTCCAGGGGCTGTGGGTACCTCCTCGCCGCAGTTGCAGCTGGATTCGACCCGAAAACTTGCTTGTCCGAACGCGCCCGGTGCCGGGCAAGGGGTGGTTCCGGAAATGGCCCCAGCATGTTCCGGGGAGCGCTTGCCGGAACACGCTGAGTACAACGGCCTTTCTCCCTCTCGTCCCCCTCCTCCTCCTTGTCCTCCCCCTCCTCCCCCCTTTTGTGGCCCTTCCTCTTCCTCCCTCCCCTCCCCCGCGTTGTCCTCAGCACGTTCCGGGGAACGCCTCCCGGAACGTGCTGGTGCTAGTTTCTGTTCCCCACCCTCGACGCCGAAGCTGAGGGAGTGCAAGTTGTCTGCACTCCTCCTTGGCTTAGTTCCTCGCGTCGCTGGATTTGCTGCAGTTTTGCCAGAGGCCCAGTCGGCCCCCTGGTGGACTGATCAGGTCACCGAGGATGCGCTCGCGGACCCCCTGGCGGTAGATCGACTGATCGCGATCACTTCTGAGGTTCTCCAGCGGGCCTGGACTGCAGCTAAGGCGGAATCCAAGAAGAGCATCAAGTCTTGGCTGATTAAAGCGATCCCTTATGGGGCTAAGGGGGTCCACGCCTGGTTGAAACGGGAAGCCAAAACTTCGGTTGAGTACTTTAATCCCCCGGGAAATGTGTTGCAGCTTCCTGAGGAAATGATGATGTACCGTGCTCAGGTTTGGGGCGAGTATTGGGGCACTTCTAATGAGGAGCTCTTGAGGCTAGGTGACGCCATGTCTGACCTCCGTGCGGAGGCCCTTGCTCACGTCCAGGATCTCGAACCCCTTGAGGTGAAAGATTTGCATGTTTGTCGTTTCTTCCCTGCTGGCACGGCCGTAGGGGTTGATGGGTGGCGCCCCCGCGCGTTGCTCGACCTGCCTCTTGAAGCTCAGGAGGCCCTTGCGTCGTTGTATCAGCAATGCGAAGCCCACATGATGTGGCCAGCTCAAGTGCTGATGGGGTTGATTGCCCTTCTCCCCAAGAGTGCGACCGACGAGAGGCCCGTGTGTAAATGCCCCACCCTGTATCGGGTTTACACCAAGCTTAGGGGGAAAGATATTGACACTTGGACCGCTGAGCATGTGGCCTTTTGGGACACTGCTGTGAAGGGGTCCTCTGCCCTTAAAGCCAATTTAATGTGGGAATTGTATCATGAGTTTTCCCTCCACGAGGGAACGATCTCGGTGGCGCTTCACTGGGATTTAAAGACGTTTTTTGACACGGTGTGCCCTCGGAAGTTGATCAGTTTCGCCATGCGCATGGCGTATCCCCCCCACCTCCTGTATCTTGGGATGTTGATTCACACCTCCCCGCGGATGCTCGAGGTTGAAGGTAATGTTTCGCCCGTGATTGGGGCTGGGACTGGGGTTCTTCCAGGGTGCTCCCAAAGTATGGCCTGGGTGAAAATCTATATTTGTGAGGCCTTGGAGGCCTGCCACTACACCCTTGAAGGGGATTTTTCGAAGGTGCTGACCCGAGCGTACGTGGATGACATCTCACAGAATATGCATGGTGACGAAAACCTATTGCTCGCTCAAGTTTTGCCTGCTGCTGTCCGTCTCGGCCATGAGGTGGAGAAACTTGGCTGTGTCATTAGCGGCAAGTCGGCCTTAGTTTGTTCTTCTAAGGCTGTGGGCGAGCGCATCGCCAACAGCCTCCGCACCGCCGGCCTTCCCATTAAGTTTTCGTCCGAAGCTCGGGATTTGGGATCCACCACGACGGCGGGGCGTCGGCGGAAGGTTACCGCGGTGAGAAAGCGGAGGCTTGAAGCTCGGAGGCGGGCCTCGAAGGTGCGTTATCTCTCTAGGATGTATCAGAGGGCGGCTAAATTGTATAAGCCGGGGGTGTTGGCCGTCGGGTCCTGGGGCCACCAAGTTGTTGGGCTTTCCCCACACCAGCTGCAAGTGTTTCGGGGTCAGGCCGCTCAATGCTCGGGGTGGTGGACTCCTGGGGCTTGCTCTACCACTGTGCTCTCGCTGGTTTGTAGTACTCGCGGGGATCCTGTGTTTCGATTGAGACTCGAACACTTGGTCACGTATTACGATTTGTGGTTGGCCTTGGCCCCTCATGAAAGGATGAAGGTCTCTCGAGTGTGGAAGGCTGCCACCGACCTGTTTCAAAATGTGCCTGCCAACTGCCGGTGGCGGAGAGTGCGGGGTCCTGTCATTGCCACCGTTGCTGTCCTGTTGGATTTGCAATGGGACCCTGTTTCCCCCTGCCTTTGGCATGATGAGTTCGGTTTCCCCCTGGATCTGGATGCGTTGGATTTTCGTTTCCATGTGTGGAGGGCCCTTCGGGTCTCCTGTGCCAATTGGGTCTGGGGGAAAGCGTCGGGCCATTACCTTGGGGGCGGGGTCCAGGCTGGGGTCGATTTCACCACCCCCCAGAAAATGTTGAAACAGTTTGGCAAAAACCTCGATTATGAGTCCCAGGCCATTTTGAGAACTACCATGGTAGGCGGCTATTGGACAGAATCTCGCCTATTCGATGCGGGGTATTGCGCGTCTCAACTTTGCCCGCGGTGCGGGGTGGAGCCAGAGACGCCCGTGCACCGCTTCTGGAAGTGCTGCGCCAATGACCAGATTGACAGCCGGGCCGTTCAGGCCACTGCTTATCTTGCCCCGACTGCGATCGAGGAAAGTGAATCCCTCCCCTCCCTCTGGCTCCGGGGCCTGATGTCCTTGGAGCAGGCCGTGAGTGGTCTCCCTGCCCCTGAGGTTCTGCAGTGGTCCTTTGGGGTGCTCCAAGGGGACAACGTGATCCAAGGGGGCGTTTGGGGCATCGACGGCTCGGGGGGGAAGGACACTAAGGATTGGCGACTAAGGAGGTGCGGCTGGGGCGTTGTCATGCTGCACCCCAATGAGCGGGAGGTCGGTGGCGGCATGTTTGGGACACTCCCCACGGGTTTCCAGAGCTCGCCGCGCGCCGAGTTGTACTCCTTGCTGGCCGTCCTCTTGAAAACGGAGGGCAATATCTTGGTCTTTAGTGATTATCTGCCAGTTGTTCGCAATTTTCGGAAGTCCAAGCAACAGATTATCAGGAGTAAGAGTACGATGCTTGATATCTGGGTGCAGGTTTGGGATCGGCTCGAGTCCCGTCCAGGCCAGATTGATCTTAGGTGGACAAAATCTCACCCGACCCAGGCCCAGGCTGAGAGCATGCAGTTGTCGAGCGCTGAGCTCCTTTTAAATCGTGCTGCTGACCTGTGTGCACATGAAGGTGCCGAAAGGGGTA